AAATAATATTTTATTAAATTTGTGGGACCTATTTAAATGTCACATCAGCACGTAACAGAATTTTTGACGGAATTGTGACGGAAGAACCACATTGATTTATAACACCATTTTTCAAGGACTACATTGATCGATTTTCAATTTCAGGAACCATCTTGGTAGGATGAGTCAATCTCAAACGAAATGTTACCAGTGCGCGTAATAGAGAGGGTCATACCATTACTAACAATCTTGTCATTAGAACCATACCTAATTATGAGTAGCACCAGTATCCGAATATTATAATGGATCAGAAGAAGAAGGCAATATGCATACCAGCAAAAGCACGAGAAATATCATCATCTGAATGAGTAACTTGAGGACACAACGCAACAATGTGGCCAAATTGGTTGTAGGCCCAACACTGAGGTCTACGGTTGACAAGGGTTGGTCCACGGATACAAGGGCATTGTTGCACATAACCACGCTGACCTTATCGCTCAACCGCACCAGACTGATTAGAGCATCCCCCACCATTACTGCGAGGAGCCCGAACCAGAAGCACCATTAGACAAACCAACAATAGAATTACGGTCAGAAAGTAGCAGAAGTTGAAGCAACAGCCTGATTCTGATAGAACCCCACTTCAACCTTTACTCAAATGCAATATATACTAACAAGAACACTAAGGCCCTGTTTGGCAGCCCGTATAAAGCATCGGATAGGATAAATAATACGGACCCAAGTGTTTGGCGTTGTTTCGTACTAAATAGCAACCGGATTAATTATACCGGGCCCACATGATTTATACGGTACACACCTGTTAATTTATCCTCCCTAAAACGTAAGGATTATTAGTCGGGTGGGAAACAACGATCGCTCTCTCCCTCTCTCCCTCTCTGTCCCTTACTCGTCGCATTCCTTTCTCTCTCTCTCGCGTCGTTCAGCCGCCGTCGTTCGTCGTTCGTCGTTCAGCCGTCGTTCAAACGTCCAGCCGTCGTTCAGACGTCGTCCAGCCGTCGCCGTCCAGCCGCCGTCGTTCTGCTTCTACTTTGCTCTGCTCAGTTCCTTTCTCTCTCTCTCGCATTGTTCAGCCGCCGTCGTTCTTCTTCTACTTTGCTCTGCTCCGCCCTAAATTATTGGGGAAGTTATAGATCCCTTCAAATTAAGTTTTAGAACTCCATAATTTCTATAAAATTCTATGAAATTACTGAGGGTTGGAAATCCAATTAATAGATTTGGTTAACATGATTTGAAACCCAACGACCTGCAACCGCCTATTCTCCGGAATCTGGAGCAAATCTCATCGATTCCCGGAAAACTTCAAGAGCCAAAAGCTCTGTCAATCCTCGCCGACGTGGCTGGACCTTCGTCTCCGTTTGAAGCTGCACCTTCACAGTGCCTCGATTTGTCGTAAAACACACCCTTAACGGATCCATGTTGTCTGTAGAAGATCAACCAAAAAGGGTTTTATGCCAAACATGAACGACAAATTAAAGGCACTACCCTTTGTTGATTATTCTATCATTATTTTTCTTTTTTTATCATATCCGGTATAAAACCAAACACCGTATAAATAATACGGTCATTAGTCCGATACTGCACCAAACGTCCGACTAATTTAGTCAGTACTATCCGGTGACTATTTATCCTATCCGACAGAAATAGTCAGTACAGTCCGAGCTGCCAAACGAGGCCTAATACAATCAAATATTCATTCCCTTTTGTATCTGCACATATCTCAGCTTATATAGCTGGTTGCAGGCTAAAGAAATCCAACTCAACAATTGACACCTGGCTAACTAAGTGATGTCACTTGGCATCCTAACATTACCCCTCCCTTAGAAATCAACCTTATCCTCAAGGTTTAGCTTTGAAAATTCTAGTAGCATTATTTTGATGATTTGGCAATGGATCCAACTACTATAGGTTGATCTAGAGACAATGAGCGACATAAGCTAGTAGTATATAACAACAACATTCATATTAATTTTCTGTAGCAATATGCTTCCACAAGTAGCACAAAAACTGATATGTTTTCCCTTGTAAACGAGCAACAATATATGTACTGAACTAATGAAACCATAAGTTTGTGCTTCCACTAAGAGCACATTGCCGAAAACATTAGCTCCACACTACACCCTCTCCAAAATTGAGCAATAATCCAATAGGTGGGAGGATCCCAAGGACTTAAGTACCACTACACCATTTATGGTGTAGCCGATGTGGGATCAGAACATCACACCACCCTTAGGAAGACCCGATGTCCACGTCTGCCTTTACTTTGGTTGCTTTCACTCTTAACGGCGGCACACCCTTTGGTCATCCCGTTAAGGTAGCCCTTTCCAGGGCGCCCCCTATGCAGCGTCAGGAACCTAGGCTTTGATACCAATGTTAGGTACTCAAGCCCTCAAGCTCCAGGGAAGAGCCCAACCCAAAAGACTAATCCAATAGGTGGGAGGACCCCAAGGACTTAAGTACCACTACACCGTTTCTGGTGTAGCCGATGTGGGATCATAACAAATTCATAGCGTGCTTGGATTCAAAGACCAGGAGCCTTGTAATCAAATCATTAAACGGCGACCGAGGTGGAAAGTTGTTGAGCATAAACACCCAATTCTTACTGCATCAGATATATACGTACACATGTTGCCATAATATATATCCTTTTAGTTTTGAGAAAAATATTTTGTTGATCATGTTCACGTACATAGGTGTTTCTTAGATATGAATTATGAGCCCGAGTTATTTTTATTTATACACACATCTACACATAGCTCAAAGAAATAATAATTAAACATTGCACTATTTTGCTGATCTTCTTCACATACATAGGTGTTTACTTAAAGAGCTCCATCACCCAAAAGTTGGAGACAAAACATTCATATTTAATGCCACTAAATCCAGCACCAGTTGCCAAAGTCATGAACTCTTCTCGGCTCCGCTCCTTTCCTCCCGAGTTTTGAGTCATCATAAGCACATTAAGTAGGGACGTGCTCTTCACGGCGGTGCTAGTCTCTGGCATCACCGGAAGAAGTGCTTTCACGATAATCACTTTTCCATCGTTTGGAATAGCATTGTAACAATTTTCCAACAGCTTTAGGCAGTGTTGGTCATTCCAATTGTGAAGTATCGACTACAAATTTATCAAAATATACATAGTAACCATTGTTCGTATGACCTCAAACTGAAGAGGAAAACAAATTAAAACCTAAATTCATTTTTTAATAATATGGGGCTAAAATTATTTGCCATAAGGTTGGAGCAGAAAAGTTATTTTTGGGTTAAAATTTAAATTTTCTGGACTAAAAATTTTAGATTTTACTCCAAATGTTGGAGATGGTCTTATAAGGGACGGCTTTAGGGTTTGATTTAGGAAAACCTAACCAAATGTGAAGCATAATAGTTGAAGAGAGATAAGCTTAAACCTAACTCTCAATGAATCTCATTTTGCACATTGCTAAATAGGAATGCTAAATATGTATGAACAACTATCATCAAAATAGAAAAAATAGGTGGTCTAGTCTAAAATAATTTTGTCACACCCTTAAAATGGACTTTTTTTTTTGAACAAACGATATTATCTACACTAAGGGGGAGAGGATATGCTTAGCCTCAGAATGAGCTAGCAATAATGTGGTTCAAATTCGCCTTTGGCGAGAATCGAAACTAAAAGCTCATACTTACAAGTGAAGAAGAATACTATTAGACCATAATACTAAGTGAAAAAATGTGACTAATTAATGAAAAGGAAAAAATTGGGTGAATAGCTATTATCTTTTTCTTTTTCTTTTTTGAAAAATAAAAAATGATTGGTCTAGTCTAATTAATGGAATGTTAAGTATGGATGAACAACTATCATAAAATAAAAAAAATTAATGAAAAGGACTTGAAAATTTTGAATTTTAACAATAAGGATAAAATAAAGGGTAAAGTAAATAGTACTAGGATTGACTTTTTAATGTAAAAATATGATTTTTCGTTAAAGTGAACAATACCGCAGACTTTCGTTAAAACTTCTTATAAAAAAGGGAAACTTCCTAGAAAAAAGGGTGGTCTGGTCTAATATAACCTAGTCACACCCATAAAACGTGACTAATTAATGAAAAAGAAAAAATTGGGTGAACAACTATTATCAAAAAAGAAAAAAATGAGTGGTCTAGTCTAATTAATGGAATGCTAAATATGGATGAACAACTATTATAAAAAAGAGGGTGGTCTTGTTTAAAATAATTTAGTCACACCCAAGGTCTAAAATATCGATATTATCCTGATATTTTCATCGAAATTTCCGTGTTTTTGGACTACCGATATTTCCGATATAATCGATATTTTAGACCTTGATAGGAACTCTATGTGGTACTAAGTCACTCATGTATCTTACCATGTAATGTATAAAGTGTAAAATATTGTACTAATTCATTATATATAAATGATTATGGTGTGTTTAAACTTCTTTCGTTAATTACTACATATTTTCTACACTTATAATGTTTGCCAGCTCGCTATATAATCAACTTAAATCAATTAAATCCATCATGCAATGCATTTCCTTCCAATTTTTTGTGATAAACTAATAGATAATTGACTAGATAAACATCCTGCAAAGTTTCAATAAAAATTTCCAAGTTTTTCTTATAATTTCCGTGGTTTTTATTCAATTTTTATCGATATCGATGATATTCCGATATTTCCATCGAAATTTCCTTGTTTTTGGACTACCGATATTTCCGATATCATCAATATTTTAGACCTTGGTCACACCCTTAAAACGTGAACAACTATTATCACTTAGTATTACGGTCTAGTAGTATTTCTCTTCACTTGTAAGTGAGAGATCTTAGGTTCGATTCTCGCAAAAAGCGAATTTGTACCACATTATTACTAGGTCATTGTGAGGCTAAGTTCTTCTCCAACCCTTTAGTGTAAACAGTATCATTTGTTTAAAAAAACGTGAACAACTATTAGTTAATGGAACGCTAAATATGGATGAATAACTATTATCCAAAAAGAAAAAGTGGGTGGTCTAGTCTAAAATAATTTAGTCACACCCTTGAAACGTGACCAAATCCCCTTTTCCCTTCCCCTTCTCTCTCTTACCAAAAAATGCGTGAGACTCTTTCTAGTTTCTAAACCTTGCAAACTCCTTTGCCGCCGACCCCAACCTTTGGTTTGGGTGCCGGTGGCTATCCTTGTCCAAGTTCCTTGTTCTCCTCTTTCCCTCTTTCTCCTGATCCTCTTCTTTCTTTTTCAATTTTCTTCTGAGATTTTTCTCAGTTTTCTTGAGCTTTGTCTCAAATTTTTCCATGAGTTTGTCTCACTTTTGGACTTCATGTCCCTCCTCTCCACCCCTCCCTCTCCTTTGGCCGTTCATTTCCAAACCCAAAACTCCATCTCTCCTCACTTTTCCCCTTTGCCTCCCTTCCCCATAAATCATCCCCACCCCATCCTTTGCTCTGATCTGCAAAACTCTGGATCGAATATGGTTGCCAGCTTTATTTCCCTTCCTCACTGTCCCTTTGCCGGATTTCCATAGAGGCCAAGTGTACTGCGACTTTAGCCAAAGTAAGGGTATTTTACATACTCTCTTAGCCTCACCTTCTATCATGTGTGATTGTGTTTGTACATATTTGCTAGGATTCGTGAATGGAATTTGGATCTGGTGACTATCTTTTGGTTCTGCATCTTTAGGAAAGAAATCTGGATGTGGTGTGCTTCTTGGTGTGGGTTTGGTACTTTTGTATAGCGATATCTTGTTTGTTTTCACCACTCGATTGTTTTCTCTGGTGTTGCTACTTCGGTAGTTGCTAGCAAGACTTTCGTGGCGATGATGGTGACGGATGCTGCTTTCTATGGTAGAAAATTAAGGATTTGGGTTCCCGTTTCAGTTTATTTATTTGGGCTGAGCTTTTATGTATTTGTTTCCCAATGTATTTGAGTTATTTTTCCTTCCTTTGAGTTGGCCAACTATTTATATACATGTATTCTAAGATTGATTTTCTCCAAGCTCTTAAGGATACTCTTACGTCCATTGCAGAACAAAGCCCTAATCACTAAAGTATAACACAGATGATGAAAACAAAGAGGTTATTTTTTGTTGAATGAAATATGAAATCAATGCTTTAGAGGCTTCGATGTCTTCTCAAAGTATATGGCAATAATTTTTTCTTAATTGTTGGAACATATAAAACTTGCGATAAGCGAAAAATGAATGACCCAGATTCAAATGAAATATTACCAGTGTGCACAATAGGGAGGGTCACACCATTATAATCATACCCAATGATGAGTAGCACCAGTATCCGAATACCATGATGGATCAGAAGAAGAAGCAATATGCATACCAGCAAAAGCACGAGAAATATCATCATCTGAACGAGTAGCTTGAGGACAAAACGCAACAATGTGGCCAAATTGGTTGCAGGCCCAACTCTGAGCTCTACGGATGACAAGAGTTGGTCCAAGGATACCAGGGCGTTGTTGCACATCACCACGCTGACCATATCGCTCAGCACCACCAGACTGATTAGAGCGTCCACCACCATTACTGCAAGGAGCCCGAACCAGAAGCACCATTAGGCAAACCAACAACAGAATTACGGCCAGAAAGTAGCAGGAGTTGAAGCAACAGCCTGATTCATAGCTTTCTTGGATTCAAAGACCAGGAGCCGAGTAATCAAATCATTAAACGGCGACAGAGGTGGGAAGTTGGTGAGCATAAACACCCAATTCTTACCGCCAAAGGCCTCATATCTAGTCAGATATATACGTACACGTTTTGCCATAATATATCTCCTTGTAGTTTTAAGAAAAATATCTTGCTGATAATGTTCACGTACATTGGTGTTTCTGAGATACGAATTATGAGCCCAAGTTATTTTTATTTATACACACATCTAGCAGTTATTTTTATTTATACACACATCTAGACATAGCTCAAAGAAATAATAATCAAGCATAACACTATTTTGCTGATCATCTTCACATACATAAATGTTTACTTAAAGATCTCCATCACCCAAACGTTGCAGACAAGACATTCATATTTAATGCCACTAAATCCAGCACCAGTTGCCAAAGTCATGAACTCTTCTCGGCTCCGCTCCTTTCCTCCCTTGTTTTGAGTCATCATAAGCACATCAAATAGGGAGGTGGTCTTCCCGGCAGTGCTAGTCTCTGGCATCACTGGAAGAAGTGCTTCCACAATAATCACTTTCCCATCGTCTGGAATAGCATTGTAACAATTTTCCAACACCTTTAGGCAGTGTTGGTCACTCCAATTGTGAAGTATCGCCTACAAATTTATCAAAAGATACATTGTAACCATTGTTCGTATGACCTCAAACTGAAGAGGAAAACAAAATTAATGCTCGGGAAAATGAAAAATAACCTTCAACAAAATGGCATCCCCAGATGGAACACTTGCAAGCATGTCTCCTCCAACATGTTCTACCCCTGCAAAAATAAATTAATTCCTTTTAAGTTGCATGGCTTGTGCATGATAAATAAAATAAGAAGAAAAATAATTCCCGCATGTCGTTTGCTTCTTTTGTATATCCTTGTATATTTATGTCTTTTGATATTCAACCTGAAGCTAAAACATAAGTGTGTAGGGAAAGGAAAATGGTGTGTGTGTGAACATCACGTTCCAACTAACTATTACAAATCAAATTAACTAAAGTGATCTTTACCAGGATATGAAGCGGCATGTTTTATGACATGAGGCAAGTCGTAATTGATACCCTTAATATGGGGATGCTTAGAAGTGATTAGACTAATAGTGACTCCCAAACCACCACCAACATCAACAAGTTGGGTAATTTTCTCAAAACCCTTGTAGAGATGAAGAATCTTCTTCATGACAATAGTGGTGTAGTTAAACATTGCTGTGTTGAAAACTTGATTAAACCTGGGGTCTAAACCTGTGTACTCATGAGACTGCTTGCCATGGACCCTGTGAAATGGAATTCCTCCTTCAACAACTGCATCTTTCAGTTGGGACCTACCAATGTCAATGTGTATCACCCAAGTTAGAGTTAAAAAGATAAATTACTATTTTTTTAAACAAGATAATTACTATTAATTAGGCTAATTAGAAATAAAAGCTAGAGAGACCAATTTCTTTTCTACAATGACTGATGTGGCAATTTCTAATTTGTTGTGAATAAATAACTTATAAGTGATTCCAGAATGAAACAAATGAAAAATTGCCAAATGAGTTTATAGTGAGTCATGCAGAATAGACAAGTTATTTTCAAGTTATATTGGTTTCTTTTTCATAATAAATTGAAAAAATTGGTGCAATTTTGGCACAATTTGAGCTTTGGTTCGTGAACTAAAATTTTTTTAGTATTGCTTTCTGAACTTGCCATAATGTGAAGCAATAGTCATTTTGAATAACATTCTTGGTAATTTCCTTATAGAATAAAAAGTTTAAAGGGGCCAAATAGGGACGAAGTTCGAATGGAGTTATTAAAAAAAATTATTGTTTTCCATTGTACCAAGTTTAGAGACCAATATTTAGGGATATTTAATTTAAAGACCAAAGTTCTAATTGAACTAAAATTCAGAACTATTGCTCTAATTATCTCTAATAATTCTACTAAAACAAAATATAGATGAATAAAAAGAGAAAAGGTTTAAGACAATGGTTAATTAGTAGGGGGAAGAGAGTAGTACTAAACAGACCAGGAGTCTAGGACGACCTTGTCTTGCGCCAATGCAATCATGGGACCTAAAGAAACACCATCTTCATTAGTCACAAAGTAGTTGGACACAGGACCAAGGCTGTAGAGCCTCTGAGAATCAGACCCATCTTCTTCATTAGCAACGACAGAGCAGCTGAGAATAGAGTGACTGGCTAGGAGCCTTAGAATACGATCCAACATCATCGGTGCCTCAGAATTCCTGGTGCCGCTGTCGATATGGGCTGCAATCTCTGATGAAGACAGATTGGCACCAGGACCAGCTTTCGCTATGATGTCGAAAACACCTAGCTCGATTGCTGATTGCATAGACATGGACAACACAGAAGAAAACACCAGCTGCATGGCACAGCCGAAGTTTTCCTCTTCTTCCAGCTGCAGGGCCATAGGACTGTCCATATTTGTGTTGTGATACTTAATGCCACCTGAATGTGTTTACTTATCTTCTCTATATATGAAGCCAAAACTTCCTTTTGGTCAATTCGCGCTTTATATTTTAAGTCTTCTTACATGGAAACAAATTTTAGTTTATCAAGTGAGCTTAGCTTGCGGCACTGATATTTAAATTTTTGTTTAACTGCCTCTATTTTATACGCCCGTCTATTTTACACGACTCGATCAAACTTCCACCTAAATGTACAAGTGCAATTCTACAAGAAGTCTGCATAACTCTATCATCTATGTGGGGTCTGTGGAAACATTCAAAGTATTCAATACATGATAATGTATTGAAAACGGGAGAATTGTCATGAGAATCAATTAAAATAAGTGACTAATTAAATCCACCTATGTAAGTTTATCTTATATTGTCGGTCCCAAGCCCGGATAAAGGAGGAGGAGACAACAGTTCATCTACCACGAGAATTCTACCACGGGCTTTATCAGCTCGTTGTAAAAAGTATAAATTTACCACACGCATAGTAAGTGCGTGATGAATAATAATTTTTTACCACAGGTAAATCTTAGCCCGTTATAAAATAGTAGTTAATAATTACGCGCAAAGTTGCACGTTATAAATATTCTAAGTAACTACGGACAATGCTCGTGGTCAATATTGTTAGTATCCACAATGTCTTTTTATTATCTACCACAAGCATAATGTGTGATAGAATCATAAATTCACATATTTGGAGGAGGCGGGACACCAAAATTTTGCAAAATTTTAGACATCTTTTGTTGAAATTTCTAATTTTTTTGACAAATCCACTTTTTGCTCTATCTCCTTTCCATGTCCATCTCTTCCACTTTATCTTCCTTTCCCTTTTCCAAAAACAAAAACGAATTCTACCCCCTTTCAACTACGCTCCCACGTTTTTCCAAAGCTCAACCGCTTCGGTTTCTTAAAACAAAAAAAAAACATCATAATTTGTCTCTCCCCGGTTTCCCATAATTTAATTTGCATCTGCTACAATGGTGTGTGGTATGTTAATCCTATCAATGTTCTATCCAGTCTCTTCGGAATATTTCTCTGCCCCTGGTAAGTTTCTTCACTAAATCTTCAAGGACCTGTTTGAACTTTAAACTCTCTGTGTTATTTAAATTCAGTTTTTCTTTTCTACTTTTTTTTCTCAATATCTTTTTGTCAGTTGCTACAATGATTGTTAAATTATGAAGCAGGGGAATCTTAGGTGATGGAAATATCAACAAATTTTACACCGGTGATTTCATATAATTTTTTTTTCCGTAACTAATTTAATTTTTCCTTTGTGAATGTTGGTATTGTAGGTAACAATCACAAGAAGCTTACAGAAATGAAGCAGCAAATTGTCGAGACCAATTTGTGCTTGACAATGGCATTTTTTTCTTAAACCCATAAGTTTAGATTTACTTGATTTTATTTGTTTGCGTAATCTAGTTTACATGGTTTGAATGCAACAATCAGTTTGTTCCTTTCTTTTTACTTTTGTTTCTTTCCATTTGGTTTCTTTGCAAGTGTCTTTGCAGTGAAGTCTGCAGACCTGAAAGAAATTTGTGCATAGCGAGGTAACAGTTGTAGAGGAGTGTAGAGAGGAGAGGTTAGTGGCTATCTTAAGAGGACGGGTCACGTACTATCCTACATATCTAACTTCTCTTTGTAATACGTAGCATGATCATTTTTATCTTCAAGTATATCTATATCAGATGGAATCAGATGGAAATGTATTTTTAATTTCTTTCATACCTTGATATGAAAATGATTATTTTTGTTGATTTGGTGGTTATGTTCAGTAACATATGAAGAACTACCAAATTCGACACTACGTACCATGCGTTCGAATGTTTTAATTATGCACAAAATAATAAAAAAGACCTTATTTTTCTTTCTTGATAAAAAGTGTTGGTGTTTTGCAAGCACTTGCAAACTTAAAGTGTGATTGGCTTGCTGGAGATGTGTGTCTTCTGGAAGAAACGAAATAAAGCCTCTACATGTTTTGGTGATTTTGGTATTTCTTAATATATATATATATATATATATATAACTACTCATTTTGTTGTTACTTTTGGTGTAATATTTGAATATGTGAATTTTTATAGAGTAAATTTGCAATTTTGTATATATATTACTTGTTTATTTATTAAATAATATTTTTTTTTAATTTTTGGAAATCTTTTTATAACGGGCATTAGCCGTGGTCAATTTGTAATCCACAATGGCCATAGCATGTGGTGTTAGATCCCAATCTACCATGGGCACAATCCGTGGTTACATTGCATTTGACAACGTGCATAGTCCTTGGTAAAAGCAAAGACTTTTTATCACATCCAGAATACTAACGGGCACAATGTCCGTGGTAGATTGCAATTTACCACGGGCATCCACCGTGGTAGATGAGCTTTTTTCTTCTAGTGGCATCAGGTAGTCGACAACCGGCACTTCTAGGTTACGTCGAATCCTTATGAAAATGAATCCAGAATGAAATTGCACTAAAGCTAGGTCGTCACTCGTAAGTGACGCGCTGTGTGGCCTGAGCACAATGATAAGTGAGTAAGGGTCGCTGTATCTCCATCGGCACCCGGATGCAGTGTTAAATAAGTAAGGGGGTCATAGAAACTTCTTTTTGAACGACTCCACTCAAAGTTGTTTGGAAGCATATGCTCCTATCAACTTTACACAAGACACACAAAAGAAGTACTTTGATCCTATGAGACGGGAGAGGGTGAAGAAGCTAGGACAGAAGGGTAGAGTCCAATAGAGCAGAACGCATTTAGGAACATGGAATATAGGAACTAACGGGAAAATCTATGGAAGTAGTGGAAGTTATGGTGAGGAGAAGGATAAGTATTATGTGCATACAAGAAACTAAGTGGGTTGGTCTTAAGGCAAAGGATCTAGAAAACTCAGGTTTTAAACTTTGGTATTGGGCCACAAATAGAACAAGAAATGGTGTTGGCATCATCGTGGACAAGACCTTGACATAAGATGTTGTAGATGTCAAGAGGGTAGGAGATAGAAATATGGCAATCAAGATTGTAATAGGATAAGAACTCATCAATGTGATTAGTGCGTACACACCTCAAGTAGGGTTGGATATGAGTTTGAAGGAGAAATTTTGGGAAGATCTTGGAGACTTGGTGCAAGGAATTACTCAGATGGAGAAGGTATTTATAGGAGGAGATTTAAATGGACACGTGGGCAAGGAGACAGGCAACTATGGAGGTTTTCATGGTGGCCATGGTTTTGGGGAGAGAAACGAGGATGAGGAAGCCATCTTGGATTTTGCAATGGCATATGATCTCTTCTTAGCCAACATCTTCTTTAAGAAGAGAGAAGAACATGTGATCACCTACAAGAGTAGGTCGTCAAAAACACAAATATGTAATATGTGAGGAGCTCTTAGTCTATAAAAGGGACTCCTCACCCTCACAATCAAAAAGCCTCACATCCCTAAAAGAGAGGTTCATATCCAGCAACCCCCTCACACTCTCAAACTCTTTCTTTCTCTAGGGGACTCCCCTTCACCCTTGTAATCCATACATATAATTAGAGAAATACAATCAACATCAGTGTGGACGTAGCCCAAACATTGGGGTGAACCACGATACATCTTGCAGATTCACGATAGGATTTACGTTGTTCCAAGACCCCTCCGATTTTGTGCATCAACATTTGGCGCCATCTATGGGAATCGACACAAAAAGCTATGTCGGTTCTCTTTCATTTTTTCATCTCACCACTCTCCACCTTGAATCTGTAGAAACTCAGAACCTCCTTGGGCTTTTCCAGAAATAGCCCACAAACACAAAGCCACCATGTCATCTCCTCTCTCTGTCTCTCTCTCGGTCTCTGCTCATAAAAGAGCCCCAAAGATTCTCTTTTTTCTTTTTAAAGTCCTCATTCTTTTTCCTTTTCTGAAGATCGAGATCTCTCAGCATGCATCAATACCAGATCTTTCTCTCTCTGCAATTCAAAAGAAAAAGACTTTTTGGTCCCTCCCATGGCAGTTCTGAGAACACACAAAGTTGAAATCTTGATTTCCTCTTATGGGGTACCTTTTTTTGCCGAGTTGACTCAGCCATCTCCGTTGCCAATTCCCAAACCTCATCGTCCAAAACCACCGCCACCGCTGAAAAGCCCATCAAGATCCAACACTTTTGTTGAGATTTTGAGCGGGAGAAACGCCATTGACATGAATTACAATCCTCATCCAGCAATCTAGTCATGTGACACTCACAGACTTCGACCTCTCGATTAGCCTCAAGCACCGGACCACCAAGCCCAGCGACTCCGTTCCAGAAAATGACATCCCGAAGATTCACCGCAAACACCGGCGAAACTTGACACGTTGGATCACGATTATAAACGAAAATCACAAGAATGGCAGAAGCGGGAAGGGGTTGAATAAGGCCAAGTTGTCTTGAGACAGCCCGATGAGTCGACGGAAGCTGAGTTTCTCGGACGGCGAACGCGCGAACTCGTTTGTCGGAACGAAAGAGTACGTGTCCCCCGAGGTGGTGCACTGGAAGGGCCACGAGTTCATCGTTGACTGATGGGCCCTCAGAATTCTAACTACATATTTGCCCAATGATGGGTCCACTGCTAATGACTTCATAGAGAGCTGGTTGAAAATCTGCCCATCGACAAAGACCAAGATCAAAGCAGCATGCAACGGTTTAAGTTTCACAGAGCAGTGCTCAACTCGGCGTTGCTTTGAACGTCACCAAAGATACGCCTGTCTTCCTCCACGCCAAGCCCCTGCAAGCTATGTTCATGGCTCTAGATGACACAAGTAGGTGAGAGGACCCATCAAATATTTTGTTATGATTGTTAAGGTTGTTGGAGGACCCTTTGCTGTGGTGTAGAAGCTTGGACAAGCACAGCCATGGAGAATTCTCGTTCGCTGTCGTGCGGGCCAATGAAGTTATTGAAGATCACAGCTAGCTCCCGACTCGGATCCCTCGAACTCGGAATCTCAACCTAGTGACTTTCAGCAGAAAAACAGAGAAGGAGCGGAGAGATCAAGAAAAGCAAGTGGGTGGTGTCAAAAAGGTTGTCCAAGCAACTGTCACTTTAGAGAAATGAATATTGCCCTTAATCATGTCATCAAGTGACATATCTAAAGCAGAGAGCAGAAAGAAAAACAGAAAGCAAAAGAAGATAAAAGAAGCAGACATAATTACGGACAGTGGTGATGGCATGTAGAAAAGGGAATTATGGGTGTGACCCATTGAGCAGAGGGTCAGATTTATTTTTGAATGATGTGATTTATTTTTCTTATCTTTCGGAGACATCTGTATAACCCCATCAGAGGGTAATCATAAAAAATAATAATAAAAAAACGGCAAGCCCAAAATAATGGGCTGGAGTGTTGTGAGGAGGGCGAATGACCATATGCCCAAAAAGAGCCAGGTCCTCTATTATCACCAGCTAGGTGATCAAAAGTACGTCCAGTACTACAAAAAATTATTCGGCAACCTGCCGCTATTATCACCAACCAGGTGATCAAAAGTACGTCCAGTACTCCAAAATTATTCGGCAGCCTGCTGCTATTATCACCTAGTAGGTGATCAAAAGTACGTCCAGTACTCCAAAATTATTCGGCACCCTGCTGCTATTATCACCAACCAGGTGATCAAAAGTAAGTCCAGTACTCCAAATTTATTCGGCAGCCTGTCGCTATTATCACCCACTAGGTGATCAAAAGTATGTCCAGTACTCCAAAATTATTCGGCACCCTGCCGCTATTATCACCAACTAGGTGATCAAAAGTACGTCCAGTACTCCAAAATTATTCGGTAGCCTGCCGCTATTATCACCAACTAGGTGATCAAAAGTACGTCCAGTATTATCACCAACCAGGTGATCAAAAGTACGTCCAGTACTCCAAAATTATACATGAGCATCACTCAATCATACATAAACAATTCATAAGCATCATTCATGTCAATCATACATAAACATTCATGATCATCAGTCATGTCAACATTCATGAGCATCACTCATGTCAACATCTATGAGCATCACTCATGTCAATCAACATAAACATTCATGAGCATCACTCATGTCAATCAGTTTCGAAAGCTTCATTTACAGAGCTCCAGCTTCGAGAGCTCTAGTTTCAAAAGCTTCATTTACAGAGGTCCAGCTTCAAAGCTTCACCTACAAAGCTTCAGTGCATGGTATACAAAGATCGCCTCTGAACAACCGTCGCTTCAACCCGTACATGGATTGAATTTGAAGTCTTCAGCCAACAGTCTCTATTGACTGAAGACTTGGGGATTGCACTATGTACCATATATTGGGCTTCCATAACTGGGCCTCATGAAAAATACTTGGGGGACTTAGCCTATTATTTATGTACTGATGAGCGAACCCTTATTCTATAAAAAAGACTCATTCACTTTCATTAGAAAGCACCTATTATTCATGTATTGAGGAGCGAACCCTTATTTTATAAAAGGGACTCCCTCACCTTCATTAAAGAGAGACTCTTAACCCATCACTTATGTATTGAGGAGCGAGCCCTTATTCTATAAAAGAGACTCCCTCACCATCATTAGAGAGCATCGCCACTTACTGAGCAACCGCCTCACCGCGAGCATCAACTCTAGCCCATCACTTATGTATTGAGGAGCAAGCCTTTATTCTATAAAAGGGACTCCCTCACCATCATTAGAGAGCATCGCTGCCTACTGAGTAACCATTTCGCCGCAAGCATCAACTCTAGCCCATCATTTATGTATTGATGAGCGAGCCCTTATTCTATAAAAGG